GCTCAGCTTAATCGCACATCCAATTTATTAAAAGTCCAAGTTGAGAAGGAGGAAATCAGAAAAATTACAGATCATTTTACTCCGAATAGAAATAATAGAGAAAAGCAAAAAGTAAATTACAGGGTGATTCAAATGGCGCAGTTTTAGTTAAAGTAGAATATTAGATATCCTCCCCGGTTGGAACGTTAGTTTCAATATCATTCTCCATAACGCACAGCTTTTGCACGGCCCTGGTGCAAAACCCGTGCGCGGTTGCAAGTGTTACGATTCGTACGGCTCCGTCGGTGACCTGGTGGACCTCAGTAATGCGTCCCAGCCTCCAATGCGTAGGTGGTAGACTTTCTTGGCGTACTACCACGATGTCACCCACCTTTACGTTAGGAACACGTCGTTGCCACTTGGTCCTAGTCTGCAAGGTTGCCAAGTACTCCTCATTCCATCGTTGCCAAAAGAGCTGGTGCATCTGCCGTAACCATTGCCAATGCTTCACTCGATTGGCGGGAATCTCCGAAACGTCTGGCTCTGGGATGGCTAGAATCGGAGACCCTATTAAAAAATCTGCGGGAGTTAGTGCATACCTGTCGTCAGGGTCATCGTGCAACGGTGCGAGTGGCCGAGAATTCAAACAAGCCTCGAATGGAGTTTGTAGCTGGGAGTACCACAAGGCTAAGTGCCGCTTTGCAGATTTTACTGCTGTTTCCCACAACCCCCCTTGGTGGGGGGCGCTCGGCGTGATGAAGTGCCATCGGTTCCCCAAGTCAGCGAGGGACTGGATATTTTGATCGTGGTGCCAGGCAGCCAAATCCTCCTTCAGAACGCGGTTAGCTCCTACGAACGCAGTACCGTTGTCGCTGAACAAGTTCCTGCAGGGACCTCGCCGGCTAATAAACCGAGTGAACACGTCTAAAAAAGCCTGCGTAGAAAGATCATCAGCCACCTCAATGTGGACAGCTTTCGTCGCCATACAAATAAAAATAGCTAAGTATGTTTTTACCGTAGTCCGTGATCTTTTGGATCCAATACGCAAGTTGAACGGACCGCAGTAATCAACTCCGGACGCGATGAAGGGTCGAACCGCATTGACACGATGTCGAGGTAGCGGAGCCATTTGTTGCGTTAAGACAGCACCTCGGTTCCGACGACAAACGACACATTTGAGAATCCGGCTACGCACCGCTACTATCCCGTGTATAATCCAAAAGCGACAGCGAAGAGTTTGAAGAGTCAGCTGGGTTCCGCCATGAAGAGTCTCTATATGTGCCTGTCTAATGAGCAGGCGGACTAGTCCCGTCGACTTCGGAAGAATGATTGGGTGCCTATGGGTCTCTATTAATGTAGATTTAGTAATGCGACCTCCAACCCGTAATAAGCTATGATCATCCAGATAAGGGTTTAACGGAAGTAGACTACTCGAAGTTGCTAACGCTAACCCACCCTGCAGACACCTAATGTCCTTCAGAAAAGCATTCCCTTGATCGATCCTCACAAGCCACTCTAATGCCTCCCCGATCTCCTGTGCGTCTATTGTGGGATGCCGAAAGCCACGGCTTCTCGGAAGCCACCTCAGTATTAAAGCTATGGTATGCAGAAGTTTCTTCAGCGAGCTGAATCGATCCGTAAGCGGAATAATTTCTCCATCTAAACGTCGCGTTGTCAAAGTTGGGTGAGTGGCTGTGACGGTTAAACACTGTACCCTCCTTTCACTATTTATTATAGCTTCATCTTCATTATGTAGTTTAGGTTCGAAAGGGGGTCCTACCTTATCGTCGCGTAGCCAGCTGGGACCACTCCACCATAAATGGTGCTTTAAAAGTTCTGAAGCCGGTACACCCCGACTGGCGCAGTCGGCTGGATTTTGCGATGAACGTACATAATGCCATTCATCCTTCAAAGTCAACTCTTGTATCTGCCGAACTCTGTTGGATACATATGGTTTCAGCGTGTCTGGGTGCTTTCGCAGCCAACAGAGGGTGATAGTCGAGTCAGACCACAAATAGGCAACTTGGTTGACCAATCCTAATGCCTCTCTGACGTTTCGAAGAGTTTCGGATAATAAGAGTGCCGCGCACAGCTCCAAACGAGGTATTGTGGCTCCCTTTAGAGATGCTACCTTAGTCCTTGCAGTTATTAAAGACACGTGAACGTTTCCCTGGAGATCGGTTGTCTTAGCGTACATCACAGAAGCATATGCCCTTTGACTGGCATCACAAAACCCATAGAGCGTGGTGGCCGACTCCTCTTTTATCCCAAGCCAACGAGGTATCCGCAACATATTGAGAGCATTGAGGTCATTGCGAAATTTAAGCCAAGTTTCCCGCAATTTAGTTGTCAGGGTAGTATCCCAATCAATACCTGCGGACCAAAGAGTTTGAACCGACAACCGCGACCGGTGACAAGAATCCCGTTGGGTCAAACAGCTTCGCCACCTCGCTGAGTACACTGCGCTTGGTGCATATGCCGTCGGGCTGCTTAAGTTCCACATTGAATAGCAAGTTGTCGTCGACCGGACTCCAGCGCAGACCCAAAACTGAGGTCAAGGCTGCATCAATACTGTATTCTGTAGGCGATGAGTCTCTACCCATCTGAGTTAAGACAGTGGCGCTATTTGAATTCCACTTCCGCAGCTTAAAACATCCAGCTGTCAATATGTTATCGATATTGGATGCCAAAGTGATAGCACCTTCGAAGGTGCTGCAACTGACAAGGAAATCATCCACGTAGAATGACGAGAGAATGGTGTTCCGCGCCATAATGCCCATATTGCGATCGTGAATCTTGTCAAAATTGTCGTACGCACACTGATGCATAGCTCTTACCGCATTATGAGGACTGCACGCCATGCCATACGTGACAGTAGACAGTCGGTAAGTAATTACTTCCTCTGAAAGTCTCTATCTTGCGGTGCCACGAGTACCTGGCGAAACATTTTCTCCACATCGGCGGTGATAGCGACCGCATAACGTCGAAAACGGAGTATAATGTTGATTAACGAATCTTGAATGGGAGAGCCAACGAGCTGTAAATCGTTGAGTGAGAGCCCGTTCGAAGTAGGAGCGGACGCGTTAAATACCACGCGGAATATTCCCACCACAGCATGGTGCGGAATATAATAGCATCCNTATCCGCAACATATTGAGAGCATTGAGGTCATTGCGAAATTTAAGCCAAGTTTCCCGCAATTCAGTTGTCAGGGTAGTATCCCAATCAATACCTGCGGACCAAAGAGTTTGAATAAATATCTTACCGACAACCACGACCGGTGACAAGAATCCCGTTGGGTCAAACAGCTTCGCCACCTCGCTGAGTACACTGCGCTTGGTGCATATGCCGTCGGGCTGCTTAAGTTCTACATTGAATAGCAAGTTGTCGTCGACCGGACTCCAGCGCAGACCCAAAACTGACGTCAAGGCTGCATCAATACTGTACTCTGTAGGCGATGAGTCTCTACCCATCTGAGTTAAGACAGTGGCGCTATTTGAATTCCACTTCCGCAGCTTAAAACATCCAGCTGTCAATATGTTATCGATATTGGATGCCAAAGTGATAGCACCTTCGACGGTGCTGCAACTGCCAAGGAAATCATCCACGTAGAATGACGAGAGAATGGTGTCCCGCGCCATAATGCCCATATTGCGATCGTGAATCTTGTCAAAATTGTCGTACGCACACTGATGCATAGCTCTTACCGCATTATGAGGACTGCACGCCATGCCATACGTGACAGTAGACAGTCGGTAAGTAATTACTTCCTCTGAAGGAGATTCA